GATAGACAGGGAAGCTTGACAAACAGACATGTATGTAACAAAAAAAGAGCACAATAAGGGCTTACTGGAACGATATCCCAAATAACCCACAACCGAAGAGAGGACTTACGACGACATTTCTCCGGTCCGACTTGACCATTTTACAAAGTCACAGTGTGACTTTGTAAATGGTCCAAGTCGACCGAAAACGTCGCGTAAGCTCCTTCTTCTATGTGCGGTTATTTGTTTAATAGACATGTTTGTGTACCAGTGAAACCAGTAGGCTGATGCTTCATCAAATGTCATCTCTAAACATATCTTATCGAAGTCTTATCCTCCTCCTTCTTCTTCTTTTTCTTCCTTCTTGGTTTTCCTTCTACTTCTTTTTTCTACCTTCTACTTTTCTTCATTCTGATTTCCATTCTTCTTTTTCCTTCCTTCTCCCTTCTTCCTTTCTTCTTCACTTCCTCCTTCATTCTTTTCCTTCCCTCTTGGATTTCCTTCTACTTCTTCTTTTTCTTCCTTCTACCTCTTCTTCTTCCTTGGTTTTCCTTCTACTTCTCTTCTTCTTTTTTTTAACCAGGGTTTGACAAGGTTTAAGTATCCCTAGCTTTCTTGACAAGCTAATTTTAACAGGTTAAGGTATCCTACTTTATTGGCAAGCCAAGCGCTGTTACCTACATCAGCTCATTTGGAAAGCATATTTTAATTGTTATGAGACAATTCACGTAGGGAACAAATGAAGTTGAAGGAAGCCATCTGTGGTCCAGCATTTTCATTTGATCAACTGACTTTTATCATGTTGACATCAATATGCTGTACGAATGTGTTCCATACATTGAGTCATATCCTGGGTAATCTGAACACAGATGGAGTGATGTTCGAGGAGAAGGTACAGCCGAGTGTGCAGTTGCTGCTTTCTGCCCGTTATGAGGCATAAAAGCTTGAGGTTCACGCTGTCCCTCGAAAGGATCCCAAGTGTTGCTTTGACAAAATTGGCCATGTAACATAACAGTAAGGCCACCCACATCCCTCCCTGTGTAAGGCTCTGCTGAAATGACAGATTTACCGATGATAGGTCCAGTTGAGAGATGAGACGTCATGCTCTGATCTCTACTCTGTCAGCCAGTTGGCCGATGAGAGGGGGGGGGGGGTAGTAAACCAATTATTACCTGTCTTTTTTCACTAGCCTTAGAATTCATCAGCCACTTTGCTCTTCTTATTATTACTTTCTGCTTGACAGCAGTAAGATGTTGTTTGTAAAAAGTCATAACTCAAGCACAATGGCACAATTTCTAGCTTGATCTTCAAAAATATTACCTACTTACTGTGCACTTTAGGGTCTTGATGATTTTGATAACACAAAAGATAGTGTAATTAGAAACATAAATGCAGTTATGAAGGGTAATAAATAAGAGTTGGGTTTGGAAAACACACATGTGGTTTTCAGAAGTTAAAGATAAACACTATAAACTGTAGTACATACTCTGCTATTGTTGATATCTCCCAAAGATACATTCTACCCAGCTGCTAATGGTTGCTAAAGTCCACCCCACAGATCCACACCACTGATATTTCGGCTCGATGCTGTACCAAGAGGCAAACTACCACACTGCTGGTTGGTCTAAGGCCCACCCCATTGCACCAACCAGATAATACTAAACAGGAGGTGTAAAGAAAATTGAAAGTGAACACAGATAAAGTAAAGTGATGAGGGCTCAAATGGTATAAGTAAATAAAAACTGGAATATCACATTGGAGGGAGAAAGTATTGAAGAAGTGCATGTTTTCAGATAGTTTGGGAGTACATCTGTGGCAGAAGGGTGTTAAGAAGGACAAGAAAACAGAGAATTGATGGAACAAAGAAATTAGAGTGCCGCCATTAAGGTGTCGGTGGAGAACAAAAAAAAACTATCCATGGAGGCAAAGAAGGAACCTATGAGAGTATAAAGTACCAGCACTCCATAAAATGGTGTGAAATTATGGGATTGTGAATGCAGGCAGGAGAGGAGGCTGGAGGCAGTGGAGACGTCGTGTCAAAGGGCAATGTGAGGTGTCAATATTAGCAGATAATTTGTAGTGTGGAAATTAATAGGAATTGTGGAGTTACAAAAAGTATATATTGAAAGATTATGTGTGAATGATGGATAATGTAGTTGAATATGGTAAAAATTTTTCTTTCATGTTCTTGTCACCCTGGAAATATAAACACATATGCAGTATAATGTGATCCTTAAAATTGCAAAGATTTCACACCACACAGTGGTCCTTTTTTCAAGTCACAAAAACAGGATCTACCCTGGGGTGGAAGGTACGCAGTATTTAATATTCCAGGTTCAGAATGCTGAAGGTCAGGTGGAGAAGGCTGCAATCAGAAGATGTACTGAGTGGGTTTATAGTCCCTAAAATCTTGGGTAGCTTGGGAAAGGAGATTGGATAAAGTTTGTGAACAGAGCCCCCCCCCTCCCCTCCTCCTGCAGTGTTCACCAATCCTATGTTCTTATGTGGGAAAGCGATGGAGAAGTTTTCTTGGCAATGGTTTCAGACTAAGTATAGAAAGCCACTATTCTTGTTGAAGTAGTCGGATATATGAAATAAAGTAGATGATCCAGGATCTTCGGATAATGACGTATTGTCTTCTGTGGCGATAATCCCTTAGAGTTTTCAGTTAGTTTTAACATTGGTTGTTGTGAATTACGGTGGTTTGACACAGGCAATCCTTTAATCGTCAGACCGCTTGCGTATTGGAGTATCTGATATACATGTTAGGAGTCCCCTTGATGTTCACCCACGTATAAATAGTGCAGCACATTACAAGGATTAGTATACCCCTCAGAGGGTGGAAGCTTGTCCCTGTCTATCACTTAATGTCCTTGATGGTCCATGGTTGTGAGGAAGATACTTGGAATGAGGTATTGGACAAAGATGTTGGAAACGGTTATGGTAATAGGGGGAATTGGTGGGGAGGATTATGTATCTCTTCTCGGCAGTGTCTTCTCTGGGTGTGATGAAGAATGTTTAATACCCGTGTCTGCAGTCTCTGATGGGTTCCCGGTCGGTGAAATGTGGGGTGATGGGGCCCTTCCCTGTTCCCTTCCTCTTCACTGGTATTGCGTAAAATGGAGATACCCACCAATTTCCCATAACGTAGCCAACAACCACCCTACCCTCCTAGCAGTCCGAATCATATTAGCACGAGGTGAAGAAGCCTATCATGTACACACGTTTTAAGTATATATTGGGTGACGATGAGGAGAGAGATAAGAAGAGGAAGAAGATCCGTTTTGGTAGGAGGGAATTTCGATAGACCTTTAACATTAAGGTACGTGTCAGCTTTGGCATGAGAATAACAACAAGAACTTAAGAGAGATGACCGACATCTTCATCAAGGAGTGAACTGGATAGAAGAAACACAACCTGTTTATAAATTCAAGTCCCTTCTCAAGAGCACTACTCACTCCAAAAATCAAATAAATACTGTAATAACTGAACCTAAAAAAAGTAAATATCTTAAATGTTTTCTCAAATTAATTCACATAAATGTTAACCCTAAACCCAAACTAACTTTTATTTTTAAATACACTAACCTAACAGAATACTCCATTCAACAGAAGTACAGCAATGCATGCAACCACAATACCTGTCTTTGTAATACTCATTTGTGCTTTATTGTTACTGTTTACAATAAAGTTTTAATCACTGATTACATCATTTCTAAGATTAATCAATAATTAATATAAGCCTGCCGCGAAAAGCCTATGCATACAAAGGCTTGAGCATAGCTGCTCTTACCTGTATTTTTTTTTGTACCTCTGTATGTAATGACCAAATTACTAAATAAATAACTAAAAATAAATAAATAAATAAATAAAGGCACGACCTTGGTTGAGCTTGTCTTGGAGAGCTTGAACGTTTAAGTGTCTATGAGTTATATGAGGATAATTGTTCATACATAAGGGAGACAGGTGACAGACGAAGGAATAATGGTGAGAAATGTTTGGCTCTAGATGATACCATGTATATTTTCGCCAGGACTGGCACTGAGTGGCGAACCCATGGGTAGTCCAAAAGTCTGCCTAAAGAGGTGATTTTCGAAAGAGAAACACGTAAACAGCCAACACATAGTTCAACAGGTCATGAAACGCTGGCTGGAATAGGAAGATCAAGTGAAATCGTCAGGTTTTCTGCTCAAGAGATCGATGGCTTGGTATGATACTTGGTGAATAGGTAAGTCACGTCAAGGCTGGAAAGAGTTTTCTTGTTCCTGATGTTGATTTCAACGCTATCCACATAAGAACATAGGAATGGTAGAACACTGCATAAGGGTCCTGCTCACAAACTTAATCCAATCACCTTTCCAATCTACCCAAGATTTTAGACTCTAAACGCCCACTGGTACATCATCAGATAGCAGCAATCTCCACCTTAACCTCAGCATTCCCTTAACGTTTTTTTTTTTTCTGACTATAAATACTTGCGACCTTCCAGCCCCAGTAGATCTGTTTGTGGCTGAAAAAGCCCACGGTGTGGGCGAAACATAGTCAAAAGGATCACATTAAACAGCAATATGTTTTACATTTCCATTGTGTCGGTATTTTAATACCATTTATATCCATTCTGGTCACCCAGCCTCGTAGGGAGACTAGCTGGTGTGTTAAAAAAAAATAATAAAAATAATAATAATAATACAGTAATAATAATACCTTTATTCTAGATGTACCAACTACTGTATCACAGACCTAGCTGACATTATTGGTAATACGTAGTCTAAAATAAAGAAAGCCCCTGGCTATGCAGAGCATTTTGGCAACTTAGGTTTAATCTCATTCCTCGGGTGTGACTCACAACAGTCATACCATCATACATCATATCACATCTTAAATTATTTCATATCAACTCAAAACAAAATTTCTCTATGAGAGTAAAATTGCAACTCAAAATATCGTAACACTAGGGACCACTGTACAGATAGAAAACTAAAATATTTGTAAGATTTAAGAGACATTAAGCTTATTCCATACACTTTTGTTGATGGCCAATGGCAAAGGGGTGTGATCAATATGCACTTCATTTACTGAGTTTCCCCTCGTTAAGAAGTTAAGAACAGACCAAGAAGTGAAGGATGATGGAGAGGCAGCTTTGGCTCGCGTACATTCTCAAGGCATCCGAAAAGCAGATCGGTTCATAATGACTGTTTGAAAAAACAAATTAATACACATAAAAAATATTAATAATTCACAATTAGAGCAAAACATACTATATAAGGATTAAAGTGAGCCACCTCTTAAATTAGTTTACCATGAATAAAGTGGGGGAATTTTGAAAGGAAAATATTAATTTAGTTATAACAATAAGGACATCAAAAAGCATAATACTACATACCAATGTGTTAAATATCACTCAGTAATAGTAAAGGAGCAAAGAAAAAACCCCAGATAAATGAGTAACGTAATACATTAGTAGTAAAAAGTACAGTATTTAAAAAATTATTTTTATTTATAGAAAGTAGAAATCTGCAGATAAGAACAAGAAAACATAATTAGAAAAAAAAAAAAAGGATGATTTTTGAAATAATCTACAACCCACAAAATGTGACTTTCGCATTTTGGGTCAATTATTACAAACAGAACAGAAAAAAAACACCCCAACATAAACAATCTAATAAATTTAAGAAAGATATTCAAAATTACGTTGTATAAGAAACAAAATCAGTAACATTCAAACCCCATATCATTTTTTTTTAACACAAGGGCCCACACGCCCACTGAGGAGGGTGACTCAAAAAAGAAGAAATGATAAAGTTTTTCTTCTTTTTTTATTAGTAATTTATACAAGATAGGGTTTACTAGCCCCAAGCTCCCAGCATATTAGCACCTCGTTGACAATACGCAATGGTCTAATGGAGGAAGGAATCTTCATCACTTCCCCATGGAGAAATCCCAATCAGAGTACTAATAATCAGAAGCAACCCTCTAATACTGTAAGCATAGCGTTGACAGCCAACTCTGCCTGTAAGTTTTAGTAAGATACATTCACACATTATTTAATAAATGCATGGAAAACAGGTAAGGTACCTAGGGATTGGCAGAAAGCATCATAGTTCCCATTGTATAAAGGCAAAGGGGAACAAAAGATAGTGCAAAAATTATAGGGGGATAAGTCTGTTGAGTAACCTGGTAAAGGTGTAATGTAGAGTTTATTATTGAAAGAATTAAGAGTAAGACGGAGAATAGGATAGCATATGAACAAGGAGGCTTTAGGGAAATGTAAGGGGTGTGTGACCAGGTGTTAAACAGTGAAACATATAAGTGAACAGTATTTAGATTAAGCTAAAGAGGTCTTTGTGCATTTATGGGATTTGGAAAAGCGTATTTGACAGGGTGGATAGGGGGCAATGTGGGCAGATGTTTTGAGGTGTATGTTTGTAGGAGGTAGGATACTGAAACATGAAGAGTATTTACGAGGATAGTGAGGCTCAAGTTAGAGTAAAGGAAAGATGGAAATTAATTTCCATAAAAGTAAGGCCTTAACAGGATGTGTGATGCACAGTGTTGTATGTAATAATTTATAGATGGGGTTGTAAAGAGAAGTAAATGCGAGGGTCTTGCAAGAGGCGATAGTTAAAAGATAAAGTTAATCACACATAAAGTAGGGAGTTGTCACATGTTGCTCTTTGCAGATGACACTGTGCTCTTGGGAGATTCTGGGGGTGGGGGGTGGGGGGGGGGGGGGGGGGAGGGGGGGGGGGGGGGGGTGAAGAGAAGTTGGTCAGAGATAGGTGGATGAATTTGTAGGGTGTGCAAAAGAAAATTAAAGGTGAATACAGAAAGAGTAAGGATAGAGGAAACAAAAAGATAAGGTGAAGAAAGATTGGATAACAATTGGAGGGAGAGAGTTAATTGAGGAGGTGAATTGTATTCAATATTTGGGGAGTGGACGGTCAGCTGAATGGTGTTCTATGACAAAGAGGTGAACATAAGAATTGATGATGGGATAAGGGTAGAGCGTGCACTAAGTAGTCAGTGGAGACAAGCGAAGCTTGTCCATGTAGGCAAAGAGGGGAATGTATGAGAGTATAGTTTTCACCAACACTCTTATATGGTTGTGAAGCATGGGTGATGAATGTTAGGCAGCGAGGAGAAGGCTGGTGGCAGTGTGAGAATGTCTGATGCAATGTGTGGGTGTGATTAACAATGCAGAGAATACGTAGTATGGAAGTTAGGAGGAGTTGCTGGATTACCAAAACGTTGTCCAGAGGCTGAAGAAGGGTTGTTGAGGTGGTTTCGGACAGTAGAGAGAATGGAGCGAAAGAGTGACTTCCGAATTAATCAGGTCGTGTATGAAGGAAGGCGGGGTAGGGAGTCAGCCTAGGAAAGGTTGAGGAGGGGTAAAGGGGTATTTGTGCGAGGGCATGACTTCCAGCAGGCAGCGTAAAAGCGTGTTTGATAGGATTGAATTGGAGACAAATGGATTTTAATACTTGACGTGCTGATTGAGTGTGAGCAAAGTATAACATATATGAAGGGGTTCAGGGAAACCCGTCAGGCCGGACTTGGGTCCAAGGAGAATGGGAATACAGTGCCTTCACTCCTGAAGGAGGGGTGATAATGTTGCAGTTTTAAAAACTGTGAAGGGTGTCAATAAAAGCACCCTCCTGGCAAGACATGAAATGGAGTGTAATGATGGTGAAAAAGTTTTTCTTTTCGGGCCCCCCTTCCTAGATGGGAAAGCGGCCATGCGATAATAAAAAAAAAAAAAATAACAATCACACAAATTAATTACAGGAAGACTGAATGAATGACTAGGAGGGGAAGTTGCAGTTTGAGGGTCATGAATTGCCATGAATCAGACCACTGCAACAGCATGGAAATCTTGGTACAGAAATATCTCCACAACTATTTACTACAATTGCTGGTCCACCCTCTTTGGCATGACCCTACTTCTACTGTGGAATCCCACCTACCACTGAGTCAATGCCTTCATTTTCATCAGACTTCATTATATAAGCCTAAAACTGACTTATCTTTTCCTGTCAGTGCATATATTCCAACAAGACTACAGAACTGAGCACCTGCTCCTAGGCTCAGGTGACTGATTACATCACCATCAACCGCTTCAGTTTTTCTGTATTGTATTGATCAAGCCACTTGCTGGCAAAATATCTACTTAAAAAAGATCCCGTTGATGTGCAGTGTCTCATCTTCGCATGTAATACAGTGGACACTGAATTCCTGGGCCTTTGCTCAGCAAAGAACTATTGTTTAAAGCCAAGTATTAAGGTTTTGATAATCACCATCAAACATCCATACCAACAAGTACACATATAAATATTTATTATGTTTAAAATCAAATGCCAAGAGATTGACAGATATTAAATATAATGTTTTTAACACTGAGGTATCTCCCACTGAGGTAGGGTGAACTGAAATAAACGAAAATACATTCCCCATCACTCATTCAAAAGCTGTCTTGACAGAATGAGGCTGAGATCAGACAATCCAAATTAACCTTGAAATGCAACATCCCCACCCATACTTACAGAGTGCAAGGTACACTAATTTCCACTTCCAAGACCCAAGTCCACCTAGCTAAAAAAAAAAAAAAAAAAGATTAAAAAAAAAAATAAAAAAAAAAAAAAAAAAAGAAAAAAAAAAAAAAAAAAAAAAAAAACTCAAGAGAAACATTAATAGAGTATATCTACAGAGATTACTAAATGAATGCTTATATATACTGAGTCCCATGGTGGCCGCACACAGGTGTAGACTGACCAAGACGAACGCTTATATAGTACAGTGTATTGCCAATTATCCCAACCACTGAAGACAAGCAATGGAAGACATGTTTTATATTTTTATTATACTTGTCAATAAATTTTAAAAACATTAAGCAATAAAGTGGCAAAAATAAACATAATGAAAACCAATTATTCAACTATTAACCCGTAAAAGGTCCAAATGTATATACAGTGGAACCTCTACTTACAAGTTCAATCCGTTTCATGACCTTGCTCGCAACTGATTAGCACGATTTGCAGAGTCACGTTTTCCTCACTTAAATTAACTGAAAACGAAATTAATCAATCCAGATGGAATTTCCAGGCACGAGAAAAATACTTTAATAATATCCTAATACAACACTATAGCTTTATTTATTAACACGATTTCATGTAATATGACATAATAAACAATATTAATAACAAAGAAACATGATATATACACAAGAATGAATAAAATACATGTCATTAGGTATGTGGCTAGTGGTGGTGACAGCAGCCATTGTTGTTGGGGTTTATAATGGGCACCACAGCAGCCATTTCCAGTCTCCTGACTACATGTGGTCGAAGAACCTAAGGAATAACCCAAAAACGTCAGAGTGACTTATAAGTGCTTACACTCTAAATGCAACACTTAACTGCTACACTCTTAATGGTAAACTTTTAATGTCTACACTCTAACATGCTACACTTTGCCACTGCTGCTGCATGTTGTCTGCCCTGCTAACCTCAATGATGTTCTGCCACTGCTGCTTCATGTTGTCAGCCACTGCTACTTCATGTTGTCAGCCACTGCTATCCTCATGATTCTGCTACTGGCTACCTCACGATGTCTGCCACTGCTGCTTCATGTTGTCTGCCACTGCTGCTTCATGTGTCTGCCACTGCTGCTATCATTGTAGTCCTGCCACTGCTGCATCATGTTGTCTGCCACAGCTGCTTCATGTTGTCTTCCACTGCTGCCTCATGATGTCCTGCTACTGCCACCCTCAGTGAGTTTCTGCCACTGTGCTGCTACACTTTGTTCTGTCACTGCTGTTTCATGTGTCTGCCACTGCACCTCATGTCTGCACTGACTCAACATGCTGTCCTGCCACTGCTGCTTCATGTTTCTGCCAATGCTGGCACACTGTTGTCTGCCACTGCTGCTACATGTTGTCTCCCCCTGCTACTTCACGTTGTCTGTCACTGCTGCTTCAAGTTATCTAGCCACTGCTGCTTCATGTTTGTCTGCCACTGCTGCTTCATGCTAGTCTGCC